AGGCCTAAAGGTTTAAGAACATCTTTCTAGTATCAGTAACTTTTAACTAGGTTTAAGATAAATTTCTAAAAAATTTCCTCAATTTATTATTTTCTTGTGGAGTAAAATAAAATGAAGGTGCCAATTATTTACTAGACTCAAAGGTCTTAGAACATTTTCCTAATATCATAAACATTTAACTAGGTTTTAAACAACGTCTTAATTAATTTAAAAATATTTTTCCTCGTGGAGTTAAATATAGCAGCAGTTCCAATTTATTATAAGACCCAAAAGTTTAGGAACATCTCTCTAGTAGCATAAACCTTTAACTAGGCTTAAGATAAATATTAAAAAAAAATTCACAATTTATTTTTTCCTCGTGGAGTAAAATATAATGGCAGTACAAATTTATTACTTGACCCTAAGGTCTTAGAACATCTTTTAATATCATAAACATTTAACTAGGTTCAAAAAAACTTCTTAAAATAATTCATAATTTTTTTCCTCGTGGAGTTGAGATCCAAAGGTTTAAGAACATTTTTCTAATATCATAAAACTAGGTTTAAAACAATGTCTTAAAAAAATTCAAAATCTTCTTTCCTCGTGGAGTATAATATAACAGCAGTGCCAATTTATTACAAGACCCAAAGGTTTAAGAACATTTTTATAGTATCAAAAACTTTTAACCAGGTCTTAGGATAAATTTTTAAAAAATTTTCGTAATCTATTTTTTTCATGTGGAGTAAAATATAATGGCAGTGCAAATTTATTACTAGACCCAAAGGTTTTAGAACATCCTCCTAATATCATAAACATTTAACTAAGCTTAAAACAACGCCTTAAAGAAATTTTTTTCCTCGTGAGTAAAATATAACAGCAGTCCTAATTTATTACAAGACCCAAAGGTTTAAGAACATCGTTCTAGTATCAAAAACTTTTAACTAGGCTTAAGATAAATTTTAAGAAATTTTCACAATTTATTTTTTCTTTGTGGAGCAAAATATAATGGCATGTAAATTTTTTTACTAGACTCTAAGGTTTTAGAACATCTTCCTATTATCAAAAACAGTTAACTAGGTTTTAAAAGACGTCTTGAAAAATAATCGTAAATTTTTTTCCTCGTGGAGTAAAAATAACAGCAGTGCTAATATATTACAAGACCAAAGAGTTTAAGAACATCTTTCTAATATCTAAAACTTTTAACTATGCTTAAGATATGTTTTTAAAAAATTTTCACAATTTATTTTTTACTCGTGGAGTAAAATATAATAGCAGTGCCAATTTATTACAAGACCCAAAGGTTTAAGAACATCCTTCTATTATCAAAACCTATTAACTAAGCCTAAGGTAAATTTTAAAAAAAGTTAGCATTTATTGTTTCCTCGTGGAGTAAAATATAATGGCAGTGCCAATTAATTACTAGACCCAAAGGTTTTAAAACATCTTCTAATATCATAAACACTAAGTTTAATAAAACGTGTTAAAAAAATTTATAATTTTTCCTCGTGGAGTTGAATATAATAGCAGTGCCAATTTATTACAGGACCCAAAGGTTTAGGAACATCTTTCTAGTATCATAAACTTTTAACTAGGCTTATGTTTTTACAAAAATTTCACAATTTATTTTTTCATCGTGGAGTAACATATAATAGCTGTGCCAATTTAATACTAGACCAAAGATATTTGAACATTTTTCTAATATCAAAAACATTGAACCCGGATTAAAACAAACTAGTTTAATATTCTATTATTTTGTCAACCCAGTAAGCCAACCCATCAGAACGACCCAGCAAGCCAACTCAACCAGTCGACCTAAAGAATCGACCTAGCAGGCCATCTTAGTAGGCCAACCTAGCAGGCCAACCCAGCAACCTAACTCAGCAGACCGACCCAGCAAGCCAATCTAGCAGACCAACCCAGCAAGTCGGCTCAGCAAATCAACCCAGCTAGCTAACCCAGTAAGCCAACCCACTAAGCCGACCCGATGGATCGGCTCATGAGACCCATTGGTCGGGTCTAATCTATGGCCAAATAGATCGGCTCTGGTATAGGGTCGTTTTTTTCGGCTCAAACCTTGCTGCGTTTTCGGCCAAGTCGACCCGACCCAGCAATTTAACAACACTATTGGTCAGTAGCGTACGCAAGAATTTGGTGTGGGGGGGGGGATAATTAAAATTTTTTAAAATAAAATTATTGTTATTTAAAAATATCAAGCATAAATTTATTAGGACTAATAACTATTTCTAATATACAAATTTAAATTATGAATTATAAAAAATTAAATATATAAACCGATATATAAAAATAAATCTGATTTAATAAATATTAAACGAATATAAACGGCGGCATATAAATACTTTAAATAAATCTGAATTATAAAATATTAAGTGGATATAACCAGGATATGATGACTATAAAATAAATAATCCATAATAGAAATTTAAATTTTTTTGAGCTTTAAATGTTGGAAATATGAATAATTATATTTTTTATGTAAAAGAAAAATATATAAGACATTAAAAAATGATAGCACAAAAAATATTATAGAACATTATATTTTTATAATGTAAAATCCAATCTTCGTTGGGAGGGAGCTAATTTTTCAATTATCTCATCCGTGTTTGGCGTCAAATGCCTATGAATATTCAAAAGGGCCAGACCATTCAACCTACTTTCAGAAGTTGTACTTCTTAGGTACGTTTTTAATCTTCTTAAAGAAGAGAATGTTCTCTCATAAGTTGCAGTACTAATGGGAAGAGTTGCTAATATAAATCTAAAAGATGTTTGAAATGATGCAAAGTATCATAGCATTTTTTGGGACTATATCAACCATAGTTAATCTTTTATACCATAATTGGCATTCAGATTATAAAGCATCATGAGATACATTAATGTCTTCATGATAAAAATCTTCCAAATATTTTATTTTTTTTCTATCACCATCTGAAAATGGTTCAGAGGGCTTTTGCGGAAGTAATATCTGCAGATTGATAAGTGTTTCTTGATAAATTAAAAACCTTTCATTTACTTGGGTTATAAATGTATCCAAAAGAGGTATAAAGACATTTATTTTATAATATTCTTCTATTGACCCTATATTAATATTTGGACGATAAGTTTGCCTTACTGTAAGTCGAGGGAGACAAATATTGAACTCGTATAGCTCTGCTTTTGATTCAACATTAACATATAAAATATGAAATTCCTCATCAGCATTAGCTCTAATTTCATTGAGTTCTTTGTCTCTGCTATTCTCATCATCTCAATCAAATCAATATCAGGTTTTTGAAAAGTAATACATAAAATAGTTGTATAATTAAATAATTTATTAATACATTCTAATGCGAAAAAAAAATTTGGTATAAGTATTGAATCCAGTATCATGCTTGCTTCTGAAGAAATATCTTTTTCAGACATTGTGATATTTTTATAAGAGCATTAATAATCGGCTCTTCTAACTCGATAAAAGCTGTTACTGCTTGATGTCGAAGACTCCATCTTGTTGGACAAGCTTTTTGCAATTTTTTTCTCCTTGTTGGGCAAGGAGTTTCAGATATAATTCTGTTCAAAATATTTTGACGCTTGGGGTATCTAAACATCTCATAGATGCTAGATATTTTATCTGATATAAATATAAAAAATTTAATTTAATAATTAAAATCCTAAGCAATTTGATATCAATGGTAAAGAACATGAATCCGATATTGCTAAAATGAGTGAATGGGCAGCACAGTGGACATATATAGCTGTTGGGCATTTTTTTTTAATAAATGCCTGAAGCCCATTGAATTGTCCACTCATTGCACGTGCTCCATCATACCCTTGCCCACGTATCATATTTATATTTAGCTATATTTTTTAAAATAATTATATAATAAGATTAATTATTACTTTTAATTTTTTAAGATTCAGAAATATTACATCAGCTAAAGAAGACCCAGTCATGCTTGAAACAGGAATAAATTGGAGAAACATTTCCTGGATAATGTTTTTATGAGTATCTACATATCGCGCACACAACGACATCTGCTCAATGCCAGCAATGTCCGTGGTATCATCTGCCAAAATTGAGAAGCATGGGGCAGAATTGATTTCAACAATCAATTTTTCTAAAATGATATTGTTGCAAATATCAATTATCTCATTTTATATCCTAGGGCTGAGATAAGTAGCATTTTTATTGGTACTAATGAGGCTCTCCATTAATACAGGATCTCCTAATGCTTTAAATTTTAAAAGTCCACGGAAATTACGTTCGTTATCATTATTATTAAAATTTAAGCTTCTTGAATCCTTATGGCCACGAAGTGCTAGGCCTTGCAAGCCACAATATAAAATAGCCTCAATAGTTAATTTTATCTTGCCTCTATTTTCTTTTGCAATTTTAACCCTATTTTTATCAATTATTGATGAAATGGGAATCATTATCCCCCTTTTGAATTGATTCTTTTGAGGAAATCAACAGTTCACAGCTTTTGTTTATTAAATTATCATACTATACTTTTTTGCTTTTGGCATGATTTTCACCTTCAGCGTTTTTTAAAAAAAGTCTAATATCCATGACTAGAAATTTGAAAATTATAATACCGGAAAATTTAAAAATAATAGATAAATATTACGCCACAAGGAAAACTTGAAAACGAAATTAATTGATAAAGTAAATTAGTAAATGAAAAAGGTAATAATATAAAAATTTAAAAAGAAATAGATATGAATAATTATAATAAAATATAAAAATATAAAAAATAACATTTTTGAAAAATATGTCCGGCATCTGCATTTTGGCTTTGGGGGGGGGGGGGGATTTGCCCCCCCCCTCCACCTCCCTTTCCCCCGCTGCGTACGCCAATCTATTGGTTAATTCATAACAGAAAGCATAATTTTCCAAACATTTTTATCAATTTAATTTAATTTATTTTATAATATATTAAATCGACCTTTCTTGTCAGCTAACTTCGAACGCAAGCAAAATTTTGACTAATCTTAAAATAATAATTAATTGACATTACGACAATCTTAATCTTTACATTTTCTGATATGGTTAGATATCCCATGCTACATGTTTTCGCTTTAATTTTTATAATTTCATCATCTGAAGCCAAAAATAACGTTGACAAGAATGGATATATTATTTATTGCCCTTGCATGGGTTTAATTATTATAATTTTTTTTCAAAATTTAAAAAATGAAGGAAGGTTTGGCAATCAGGTTGATCAATTTTTCGGCACTCTAAATTTTGCTAAGACGCTTAATAGAACATTAGTATTGCCCACATGGATTAAATACGATTTATTTTCTGACAAACCGGTACATATTTTTCTTTGTTAATTAATATTATAAGACCTATTAGATTTTTGTGCCATTTGATCACTACTTTATGTTAGAACCTTTAAATGTTTTTTACAAAGTAATGCTAATTAAAGATTTTATGCATCTTGCACCTAAAGCATGGCCTTTATCTAAAAGATATAGTAAGGATTTAATTTTTTTCTTTGGATTGTAATTTTTATATATTTATTATTTTTTAACTTATAAAACATTATTTATTTGTTGGGGAGGGGTGGGAGTATCAATTTTATACTCAACTACTTTATGTCAGTAAATTTAACATCAAATCAATTTATGAAAAATGTAATATAATTATTTTAAGCTTAATAAATGAACTAAATGGTTTTCACATATTAAACTACATGAATAGTTTAAGCAATATTCAAAGAGGGTATTTGTAATAAAATGTCAAATGATTTCTTAGTGATAAATTATTTAAAATAAAAAAAAATCATATAAACAAATTAATATTCATTTCCATACCCTGATTTTTATTGACATTTTTTACTTTTCATTTATAATTGTAATATATTATCAAGTGTATTGTTTTAATTTATTTTATAATCTATAGCAATTATTAAAAATTTGTTAAAGTAATACATAAAATTAATTTTAAAAGGAAGTAACAAAGAACTAAAACACGATTTCAAAATAATGATACTTTTATCAAAGGCATCCTAGTTGTTTCTTATCATTACTAAGTATGTGGTGGATCCTTATCCTATTTTATCAAGATAGATTATATTACATTATTTATTGCAGTATTATAATATATTTTCCCTAAAAACGAAAATAATGATTGCCATTTTATGAATTTAATACTAGCATTGTTAAATAGCTAGTTTTGAGCAGGTTTTTAAAACAGCCAACTCAATATTTTATTCAGATAAATATGTCGGCCTTAAGATTTTGCTCATAGATGGCACAAAAGTTTGAGTATCTATTACCAAAATCTCTAAGCTTAGACCAGATTTTTCTGGCTAAAATATTGAGTTATCCATTTCTAAAAATTGGGTAAAATTGAGCTATTTAACAACACTATTTAATACATATACCTTAATAAACCCCAAAATCTGGTGTCAGATTAACCAAAGTTGATGTTGACATCATATTTCTAATCCAATTTCATCAGTAGTCTCAAAGTCCGGAAACCTGGCTCAGAGTGGACATAAAAAATTTTTATTGAAAATTATTTTTTGGCTTAAAAATAAACTACAAATCTTATTTAGACCTATATTTATTTTACAAAACCTGGGCCAGGTTAATTTTTATAAATATACTCACAATATGATGTGTTTGGAAGCAGAAGGTCCCAGGTTCAATCTTCGTAAGGAACATAAAGATTTTCAGGTTTTCTTCGATAACTGATGTATAAAGACATATGGTAAGATAAATATTGGAGCTTAGAGATGACACCCTTATACCATACAGGTTTGGACAGTAGGATACTTTTCCAATAAAAAATATGAATATGAAAGCTAGGGCTATCCCTCCAAGCGACACATAGGGTGTAGACCTCCATCCTGTGAAAAGTAAAATAAAGGTCAAAGCAAAGAAGACAAGATTAGCAAGTTTGAATATTTGTACACTTAAAGGTAGGTGTGCCGATGCTACCTTTTGGAGGCCGATCTGATCAGATATTAAATTGATATCGGCCAATTACCGATCCGTTATATCTAATTTTGTATTCTGTAAAGATACCAATGGTTTTAATTTTTAATATACTTTTTATTAGTATAAAATCTATAATTTAACTATACCATAACTTATATCATTTAAATATATTATAATGACCAGTTATAGTTTATATTCAATTGCAATTCTTAAAGTATATAAAATATATTTATTGTTAAATTACTTTTATATAATAAGTAATAACATTATTTCATATACATAATAAGTAATAAACAAATATATTATGAAATTTGAATAAATATTTTAAATAATATTTAAAATTAATATATCAAAGATTTCTTTTTAGAAAAAATTAAATTTATTAGAGGTCAGCCTGCGGCGATGGTTACTGTCAATATCACCAGCTTCACTAAAAACAGATTCTAAAGAGATTATCGCACACTTTTATAAACAGAATGCGCAAAAAATAACAATATGGCAGAATGTTTATTGATTAATTATTATTATTAAAAAAATATACATAAAAATGGATTTCGATTTTATTTATAAAAATAAATGATTTTAAATATAAATTTTTTTAAAATAACCTTTTATTTTTTTTGTTAAAGACGCCTTTTATATCGGATCGGAAAATTTTATTATATTGACCGATAACCGATATTTTAAAATGGGTGAAATATCGGCCCGATTCCGATATAAAATATCGGTACATCCCTACTTAAAGGTAAGACGAGAGATTTGGCATCAATGTTGAACAAGAGAAAAGTTGATATAGCGTGCATGAAATGAAAAGGTGAGATGGATATAAATTGTACTATAATGGAATTGTTAGCAATAGGAACGGTGTCGGTATCATCCTCAGTCAAGATCTAACCTCCTCAGTTGTAGAAGTCAACAATTGAATTATGTATATTAATACCAAATGTTAAAAAAGAAATAAATTCTTATAAATTAAAAGAAATAAATCATATAATAACAATTGAAGAAATAATAGTGATTAAAGACAATAATGAAATAAAAATTAAAGAAAATAATAAAATAAAAAATTTTATAATTAATAAAAAATTTAAAAAACTTTGGAAATAAAGAAAATTAAAACAAATATTAAGAAGAGAGGCAAGGTGATTAAATATTTTGATGTTGAAAAAGTTTTTAAGAGTATGATATGGAGATCGTATTGAAAATGGAAGGAGAAAGAGAAAATTTTTTATAAAGTACAAGTTGAAGATAAATTATGATATAAAAAAAATTTTTAAGTTGAAAAATAAAGGAGTAAAAATTTAAAAATAAAAATAATTAAATAAAAAATAAAAATATTATTATATGAAAAGAGACAATTCCAAATATTCTATTATTCTATATTCCAAATTATGATTCTTATTCTTATGAATAATTTTGATAAATTATTTATTTCATTATCATTTCAATTATTCCAAAATTATTTTGTTTGAGACATATTGATCATATATATATTTACAAACATTGATAAATAAATAAAAATGATATAATAAAAAATGATATAATAAATAACGAGATAAACAAGCTAATGTGAGGATGATGTTCAAGCGAATGATTAGACGATAAGGATAACAAGCTAAGAACAAGTCAAGGAAAAAGATATGACTCAGGCTAAACAACTACAAAGGAAAAAATTTTTAGAGTGGGAAGAAGTGAACAAGTTCAAGGTCAAAATTCAAAGTCAAGTTCAAAATTTGAAAATTCAAAGTCAAGTTCAAAAGCGAGAATATGACTTACGACATAGAAAATGATTGTTATAAATAAATAAAAATTTTGTAAAAAATATATATATATAATTTTGAAAGAGAAATGGGATGATCAATACAAACAGCAAATCAACAAGCAATGTTCAACTAACGACGTTTCAACAATAATGTGCAACCAACGATGTTTCAAAAAAGATGTTCAACAATCGATTCAACAAACGATAATCAGATGGTCAAACAAACAATCTCAAGATATACGAACAAGTGACAAATGGAGAAATTGAGAAACGAATGACTGGAGGTTAAGATAAGAAACTGAGGAAAGAAGACATTTAAAAAAAGAGGGAAATTTTGTTCTTTTTAAATTAAATGACCTTTTCGTAAATTTTCTTTTACTTTTTATAAAATATAAGGACGAACTTGTCGAAATTCTTTTTTTATATAACCTTTTAAAAAACTTATTATTTTAATATGTAAAATGTATATATATAGAGCAAAAAATGTTAAATATTTTAGAGTTAAAAGTGTTAATAAATGTTAATAAAATATAATTTTTTTAATTTTTATTGCCTTCCATTAAATTATTAGGTGGCAGAATACTTGATAATCATTACGCTACCAATTGAAATAAGTATAAAAAGAATTTTTGATAATAACAAAAGAGATTGGACATATAAATTATATGAAAGCAAAACTATAATTCTAATACGATATGATAGACTTGATGACATGCAACAGGCCTGTGGACTTATAAATGGAAAGGAATATATTGATGCCAATGGGAGATTGTTTATACTGAAGGCAAAACGATATCAGAGGCGTTAAAGAAATTATCAATATTAATCGTATTGTAATTAAATAAATATATATATAATAAATTATAGTTATAAAATATTGATGTGATATAAAAAAAGTATAATGAAACCTTTAGTAAACGTTAAAAATACTATGATTGAATGTCCAAATTATAATAATAATGTTGAAGCTTTTTTAAAAAAATTTGATAATATTTTTAAGGATCCACAATATTCTGATGCAGAAAAAGCTTACGCATTCACGTAAAAATTATCTGAAGAACAATACCTTAAACTAGAAGCAATATGCACTCCAACAGAATTTTGTAATCCGTCAATCGTTCTTGAAAGATTCAAACTATTACACCCAGACAAATCGTATATAACGTATCTAAAAGAATTTAGTTGAAACATTCACTAATTGGGTTACTAGATTATGTATATTAAGTAATAAATGCAGATTCAATAATTATAGTAGAGCTATCGAGAGAATAAAAATATTTTCAACTAATAAAGAGATACGTCAAAAAATTTCACATATAGAAAAAGTAGATATATCAGAGATAATAAAAATAGGAAAGGAGATTGAGGAAGAAGAAGCATATGATAAAATAATTAATAAAAATAGAAGGAGACACAACGGAAAAAAAACAAATAGAAATGCAGAAAGATAATCAAGCGGATACTGATAGAAGGATGATAAAATACGATGATCGCAATAGAGGGATAGATGCGCAAACGAATAACGTATACAGAAGTCAATGGAAGCCTAGATAAGACAATTATCAAAGAAATAATTATCAAGGGAATAATTTTAATCCGCGTTTTCAAAACAATTTCAATCCACAATATCAAAACAATTTTGTACAGCGGGTCTGGAAAGTTACACAAAAATTTTCTGTAATAACTGGCCATGCCTAAAAATATTGTCAACTCCTCTTTTGTTGTTGGTTTTGGCATGTTTGTAATGGCTTTGATTTTATCTTCATT